AGCACTGCTGCCTCACAGCACTGGATACCCGAGTTTGATTCGAGCCTCGGGCAGCTGTCTGTGTGGAGTTTGCATGTTCTCCCTGTGTCTGCATGGGTTTCCTCCGGGTGCCCTGCCTTCCTCCCACAGTCCAAAGGCTAGGTGGATTGGCCATGGGAAATGCAGGGTTACAGGAAGGCTAGGGGACTGGGTCTGGGTGGGATGCTCTTCAGCGGGTCCGTGTGGATTTGATGGGCTGAATGGCCTGCTTCTGTACTGTAGGGATTTTATGAATCGACATGACATTCTTTGAGAATAGGAAGCTAGGTAAAAGTAATGGCTAGGCATTGTTAGTTAAAGATAGCAATGGTGCAATAGTTAGAGATGGCCTTGGATGAGGTGATCAGGATGGAGCATGGCTTTACATTGGAGGTGATGTAAATGGCATCAAATTAGTTGTTGAATGTGGTGGATGGTGAGTCATTGTTGATGGCATGGGAACCCAATCATGGTTCTGGAGGGCAGGGGAAAGGAATGAAAGTAGACAATGGAATGGCTGGAGTTAAGGATCCTACCAAAAACATATCTGAAATGTTGGTATGGAAGGTTACATTGTCAAGACAGTTGCAACAGAGATGGAAATACTTGGAGAATTAAATTCCTTACAGAAGTGCCATGTAATTTTTTTTTTTAACTGGAGGCTTTTCTTTTCCTCTGGGCCATTGGAGGTCAAGGATACATAATGGACATCTTTAAAATCAGGGAGTGGTTTAGGAGTCAAACGGTAAAAGGAGTTTTTGTCAGCTGGTGCATTGGCAGTACAGCATACAGGCTGAGGGTAATTACTAAAAGTGTATAGGGGAGGATGGAAGATTATTTTCATAGCTTAATGGAACAAGGAATGATTTAGCACAAGACCTTCCTGGCCTACATGTGACTCCAGTTCCATGGGAATGTGAGTGACTTAACAGCCCTCTGAAATGACCGAGCAAGCTGCACAGTTCACAGGGAAATTGAGAATGTACAGCACATGCTGGCTCTGCGAGGCACAACCACAGCCCATAGAAAAATATAGAAAAAAGTAACTGAAAGGCAACCACATAATTATTAGAGAAAGAATATTTGATGAGTTGAATCAAACCTCAATGGAATATAAAACGATGATGCATAGTGATGTAATGGAGCTGCCTTGTCTCATAATCATGTCAAGCGATCTGAAAGGGAGCAGAAAACTACACCAGGGTTTTGAGAGAACGTGTGCATCTACTATTCTGAATTCTTATAGTAAGTACCTTGGATTCAAGAAGCAGTACTTGGAGAATTAATAACAGTGACACCATATCTACATGATGAAACAAAAATTTGTGGAGAATAGAATTTAAACAATTGTCTGGCTGAGTACCAGTTATTAGCATAAATTGCAAGAACTGAATGGATTCCTTCTGTGCTATAATCTCAATGAATTGATAAATAAATTTGAGTGTATACTGAATGGATAAATATGTTCAAAACCAAACTAGACTGAGAAAATGAAAAGGGAAAGAAAGAGAAAGAGATGAAGTGAAACAATAAATGGCTTTTCACTGTTCAAAATCTTGGAGTTCCATCCTTAGGAGCTCTGGGTACCCTAATAATCTACATCATGAAGCATTGCAGTGGTTCAAGAAGGCAGCTCATAACCATCTTTTCAAATGCAAGAGGAGTGGACAATGAATGCTGACCAAGCCACTAATGCCCACAACCCATGAAATAATAAAACACATGTATAAAAAGAGACAAGTAGTGTGCCATGCAGTATGCTTGTCATACAGTTTTCATAGCTGTCCACTACCAGAACCTTTCTCAGGTTAGGATGAAGGCTGCTGTAGACATTGTAGTTTGGAGACATAGTGGAAGCTTGTCAGGAAGGCACAGCAATAATTATGGGAGATTTTAATCTACATATAGACTGGAAAAATCAGATGGGCAGAGGAAGCCTAGATAAGAAGTTCATAGAATGTTTTTTAGGATAGTTTCTTAAAATAGCATGTACTGTAATCGATCAGAGACAGGCTGGAATTGCATAATAGGATAAGATTAATGAATGATCTCAGTGAAAGTGTCAGAGGAGCAGTGACCATAATATGATTGAAATTTACATTCTGTTTAAGGGAGAGAGGAGTTGGATGAAGACTACTTCTTAAAAAAAACTGAAATAAGGGCAGTAATGAAAGCAGACTAGACTAAAGTGAATTGACAACCTAGGTTATAGGATAGGTTGAGATGCAGTATCAGATATTTAGGGGATATTTCAGAACACACAGGCTAGATTTATTCCAATGAATAAGAAAAATTTCAAGGCATGGACCCACAGTCTGTGGTGAATGAAAAAAGTTCAGGATAGTATTAAGCTTGAAGGGAAACCAGATAATTATGCAAAGACAGGTGGTAATAGAAGATTGGACAGAATATTAAAACTAAAACAAAAGAATGACTGAAAATCATTAATAAGGACCAAAAAGTATAAAGGAAATTAGCCAGAAATGTAAAAACATAAAAAACAAAGTACCTCATCAAAGTTTACTGCAGCAATAAAAGTTCATGGGGTAGTGGGTAGCATATTGGCATGAATAGAAGATTTGCTACTAACAGGAAGCAGACAGCAGGCATAGTTGAGTATTTCTCTGGCAAGTAATGAGTAGCATTCCACAGGGACCAGTGCTGGGACCTCAACATATAAGATCCTGAAGGGATTTGACAGTGTAGATGTGGAGAGGTTATTTCCTCTTAAGGAAGAAACTAGAATCAATGGGACACTCTATAAAAACACTGTGTCACTCATTTAAAACAGAGATCTTTTTTTCTCAAAGAAGGTGGTGAGACTTCTGGACCACTCTTCCTGAATTGTAGAGTCTTTGAACATTTTTAAGACAGTAATGGTCTGCAAGAGGGTGAAAGGCAATAATGGGTAGGTGGGAATACAGATTTGAGGTTACAGTTAGAGCAACCGAAATCTTACTAAATGGTGGAGGAGTGACAAGGTGCCAAATATCTATTCCTGCTCTTTGTTCATATGTTTATAAATAAGTTGTAGAGAAGTACAGAAAATAGAGTGTGAGAGTCATGCTGAGAAAAAGAGAGACATAGGAAGATAAATGTGAAAAAAAAAGGTCAGGAAGTAAGCATCAGGAAAGAGGCTTTCATGTATATGAGTATGTTACAGACAGGAGGTCGAACCTCTCTCACAACTAAAACTGAAACACCCAGAAAAGCTCACCTCACCTCATAATCTGTTGAAGGAAATGTGAAAAGTGGTATAACGTGCCTCTCACTTCCCAATCTGCTATAAAGGAAAGGTGAAATAAAATGAACTTCTGACAGTCACTCTACAGTCAATAAGTAACAATTTCTTTATCTAACTCGAACAGTGATCAAATTAACTGAACAACTAACAAACCAAAGAATTCCCCCCTAACTACTAACTATTGTAGAATAAAACAAAATTCTAATGGTATGCAGTTCCAACAAATACAAGTCCCACATATAAACCTAAGTAATCAGAAAAAAAAAATTAAAACTTAGAGTGTCAAAACTACGGACAGGATTGGTCTTCTGGAATGTTCTGTGCCTTTTTCACTATTCTTCAGTTAGTAATTCTTTCTCTGTCGAATCCTAGTGTCAGGAATATTACCTAAGTGTGCCATGGTACCTTTTAGATTGTGCTTAATCAGAAAGCTTGAAGATTTTTGTGAGAGCCAGAGTTTTACTCTTCTGATGATAGTTCGCTTTCACACTGATTTTCAAAAATCCTCATCTTGTATACCTTTGATGGCCTATCAATTTTCTTATAAAAGGATTGGTCCGAGGTTGTCAACACCATCAGATTTAAATGCAATTGGTTTTCAGTCTCTAAGTGCCTAGTTGAAATTAATTGGCTGATATTCAAGCCGGTTGCCTTAGCACCAAAACAAGCTCAAGTTGTCAACCACAGAGCCAATTGATGCATACTTTTCAATTTCAGAACTGACTGTGTATCTGCAGCTGCTTGCAGACTTTCTTTTATCCCCAAGCTTAGAAAAGCACATCACCTTTTAAAGGGACCACACAATCATTCCCCTCTTTCATTTTTACACATAAATTCAAACATCCTTCCCTCCAATTCACAAGTACTCTACCAGACTTCGCAACAAGCAATGTTGAAAGGAATTGACAATCAGGTTACAAATCATAGGATTAATATTCTTCAGACTTTCTGTATCTTTCCACAAAATAGGAACTACAAAGATGACTGATCAAATCATTGTGGTGGCACTTTATCTATATTCGGTACTTTGTTCTATCAATTTCTTTCCATTTGATATATAATGTATAAAATCTTGCATTTTTTGTACTGCTGGGGTAAGAAAGGAGATCAAGAGGATGGCGATCATCAAGGGGGTGGGATGTTGGGAGCAAGGGATAAGCAGGTGGTGAGTGGGAGAGAGTTGGGCAGAGAGAAGTGGGAGGAGAGAGAGGGAGGGAACGTTAACCTCTTCAGTCTTATTAGATAGGTGAATGTTAACACCTAGAGCAATATTTATCAGATCAAAGTCTCAAACATTGGTTTTCTATTGATTAATCTCTAATTTTTAATTCATACAATTGTAACAATATTCCATCCATACCCAACTGTCCATTTATCCACAATGTGGTAGAGGAAATGTATTTCTCTCTGGTCACTGCAGTCCTCCTTCTATCCTGGTTCTGACGATATTCACCCACCTGGTCCTTCTTCAATTTGGCCTGTTCTTTCCTCATGTATCACTTTCAGGATTTGTCAACTCTAGACTCTCACCCTGACCCTTTCAGTGTTCATACTTTCTAAATAACAATCAGAGCCCCATAAACGTAACAGTGAAGTGAAGTGTTCTTATTTAGTTATGCTTAACTCACTGTACACATTTACAAGTTGTGCTTTTTTGCCTAGCAGGGCTTCCTTTGTTCAACAAGGTGGAAAAAGCATCATACACTCATAGTAATGATTTTAACTTTGTACAATTGTTTTAGAGTGAAACTTTATGGACACTGTTACTTAATCCTTTGTCCAACACTTGAAGGGCCAGGTTTTCACTCTGCCTGAATGTGTTTTTGTCTGCTCGACTTGTACTACAATCATCTCCAGCCTCTGAGTTGATTGTTACTGGATCTTGCCCAATTTTGTTCTGCGCTGCTAAAGTGAACTTGTTGGATTTCCGATGAGAGTAGGTCTCTCGGTGCTTGACTTTGGCAGAGCATAACTGAAACTTGAAGGCTGCCTGAAACCCTTGTCGAAAATTCTTGTTGAAATAACCGTAGATTATGGGGTTGACACTACTATTGCAGAAGGCTAACCAGTGGGCAAAGGGATAGATGTACAAGTTGATTATTCTCAACCAATTGTGGGACAGCTTTGTGTAGTCGGACAGCATCATCAGAGTCCACAGCGGGAGCCATGACAAGGTGAACAGTAGGGCTACTGTGGCTAACATCTTGATCACCCGTTGCTTTCTTTTAGACACCGTACTGCCATTTTCTTGGTGAGAGCCTTTGCCGATGGGTATGCTGGTTTTAAACAATGCAATTCCTATCCTTGCATACATGATAACCATGAGTGACAGAGGGGCCAAGTAAATCTTGGAAAATAACACAGTGGTGTAAATCTTTCTCATTTTTGGATTTGGCCAGGCCTCATAACATTGGTAGCAAGGATACATTTTCTCACTACTTTGGATAATCTTTATGTTGTCAGGCAGTTTGATTACCTGTAGCATAATTGCAGAAGGACAGATTATTGAGATAGCAAGAACCCATATGACAGCGATAATGATGGTTGCAACAGTCATGTTAAGTTTTTGTTTGAAAGGATAGACGATGCATCTGAATCTGCAAAATAAATGACAAAAAATGATTTATTTAATATTCAGAGATAGCAGGAACTGCAGATGCTGGAGAATCCGAGACAACAAGGTGCAGAGCTGGATGAACACAGCAGGCCAAGCAGCATCATAGGAGCAGAAAGGCTGACGTTTCGGGCCTAGACCCTTCATCCAGCTCTGCACCTTATTTAATATTCAAATGCTTTCTATGATTTGTACATTTGGGGTAACACAGGTATGTAGAAGAAAGCAAAACAATCCCTATGGCTAATACTAAAGCTGGATTGGGCCACCAGGTAAAAGCTGCACAGTGGCTCAGTGGTTAGCACTGCTGCCTCCCAGCACCAGGGACCCAGGTTCAATTCCACCCTCAGGTTACTATCTGTGTGGAGTTTGCACATTCTCCCCATGTCTGTGCGGGTTTCCTCCAGGTGCTCCGGTTTCCTCACACACTCCAAAGTTGTGCAAGCTGGGTGAATTGGTCATGCTAAATTACCCATAGTGTACAGGGATGTGCAGACTAGGAGGATTAGCCATAGGAAATGCAGGGTTGCAGGGATAGGGTAGTGGGGTGAGTCTAGGTGGGATGCTCTTCAGAAGATTGGTGTGGACTCAATGGGCCGAATGGCCTGCTTCTGCACTGCAGGGATTCTATGAGGGTTACCCCTATGATAACACAGAGATATCTAATCACTTATAAGGCAACTTATTTATGGCTAGTAATTTTCAGGGTCCATTTTCGGTGCAACTATCTAGCATTACTTTTTATAAGTAGCCCTGGTAATTTCAGAGTAAGCACAACAGTGAGCTCAATTAACAATTAATAAAAAGGAGAAACCTTCTAAGGTATTAAGAATTGGTCTGGAATGGTGTTTTGATTGCAAGGAGTGCACAGGAGAAGTCTGATTGTCAGGATTATTAAATTCAAGTTGCATACATAAGTCAGCTCCCAAACTCTGCTCCCTGGTTCCCCAGGTACGGAAAAACCAAAGAACTGTGAATGCTGGAAATCAGAAACAAAAACAGAAATTACTGGAAAAACTCAGCAGGTCTGGCAGCATCTGGGGAGAGAGAAAGAAGAGTTAATGTTTTGGCCTGGTGACACTTTTTCAGAACTTCTTCTGTCGTGAAGATGGGCCACTAGACCCAAAACATTAAATCTGCTTTCTCTGCACAGATGCTGCCAGATCTGCTGAGATATTTTTTAGCAATTTCTGTTTCTGTTCTCCATGTACAGATGTATGTAAAGCTTTCTCCATAAGTAAATCCAAACTTACTGGAATCTGAAAAAGCCCAAACTGGAATGGTTCTACTCCAGTTGTTAATTGTCAGTCGGGATGATAAGTTGTCAGTCAGAATGACCTAAACTGTCAGTATAAGATTTCCAAAGGACACATTCAATATGTCACAAGTTATAATGAAACTTCATTTTCAAAAATCAAATTCTACAGTCGTTTCCTATGTCTGTGCTAGTCACTCTGGTACCAGGGGAGTGACATTTTTGTGCAGACAATACTTTTAAAGAGAAATTTATGATCTGCAGTGGAAAAGTGATATTTCAGTGGAGCTGTATGTGGCAGCAATCAGAAGGCACTTTTTTAAAGGACGTCTGAAGGGTTGAAATATATTCACTGAATAATGAAATCTTAAATTGCACAGGATATTGATGATAGATTACTGTTTGAACGTTGAAAATTGAAGGTGCAGCTCTATTATTCCCAAATGCTTTTCATGGTTCATTGTGACCCTGCACTTATTTTAAAAACTTTGGACTGAGTTTTATGTTTTTGATTTGGAGTTAAGGTGTGTTGAGTTTTTTTTTGGAGGGAATCTCACTGTGAGACCCAATGGGTTTCTCACTGTATCTTACCAAACTCACCAGACTAATTGCCAAATTTGTCCCTAAGGCCTCCCTCACATCTGATTTCCATCCCATCTTACCATACACTGTTCCTGAAACAACCCACCACTCAGGATATCTAACCGAAGGCCAGCATCCCTTGTCTCTGCGCTATCTTTGAAAAGGAAGAGGGCTGGCACCTGGCACTGCCCTGGATTTTGGAGACTATGAGGAGAGCTGGCTTAGGAGGGAGGTTGGCATTTGATTTCTTTGACAGGGGCATGAAGCTTTTGGTAAATGGGATGATGCAACAAAGAAGTGTCCTGTTCCTGCAGAACTGTTGGATGAGTTTGCACTACTGGACAATGCCAACCTTGTCAGGGTTTACTACCTGGGTGAATGTCATTTGACAGTGCAGAGGACTGGGCTACAGTGCTGTCAGAAGGTCAATGACCCTTGCTGCTCCAGCAGAATAAGTGCTGGACTCTGCCACCACACCCATCTCCCTTCATGGCTCATGCACTGGCATTCTCTCTGTTGAATGCAACTCCTTCCCTTGCCATTAATCCTGCTCCTCTGCTCTGTCTCTTCACTCAAATGGAACATCTCGACACGTCATTCCCACAGGCACCACACTAACAGCCACACCATTCACTTGTGTCTTACTCATTCTCCTCCAGTATGAAGACTGATATGAGATGCTGCTATACTTGGCCCACTGAATGTTGGGTGTTCCCTTAGACTTCACTGAGGAGTAGTCTGCCAAGACATTGAGATGTTACAGAAGCAGTGTGTTTGGTGTGAATGTTGCTGCCATGTGATACAGGTGTGACACTGATATGGTACAGGTGTGACACTGGCATGGTACACTCCTGTGTGGCAACCTGTATGTGTCCTTGTCTGAGGACTGCTAAACAGCATGGCAAGCAGTTTGTTAGTGTGACTACGCCAATTACCACTGTAATGCATGACAAAGCCAGGCATGTGTGCAACTCTACAAGAGCAAACTAGCAGCCCTGGTAGACAGCCTTGTACAAATGTGGGCTGGGTGCCTATCCCTGTGTGGTAACTGTGCAATGCTCACTGCTGCTATGCTCTGTCATGCAAGTTTGTGTTTTCAGGGTGCACTGACAGTCCATTGGGAAGCTGCCAGAACAGTGGCAGGGGGTTACCAATGTCTGTGGTAGAAAGGGTATGTGCAGCTGTTGCCCTAGAATTGCACCCTGGGCTGCAGTTTGGGTGAGGTCAACTTGGAGGTTATTTTGACGAAGCAACAAGCTGAATCCATTGGCTATCTGCTCTGGTTTCCATCTCTGGTTGTCCTGATGGCTAGTTTGTCGGGCAGCTTCAGTGAGATTGGAAGTAGAATATTGACAAGGCGAGTCAGGCTGTCAGCAAGGAGATGGCATACCTTTGCTGTGCTGAACACTGCCAGTGCATGGTTGCTGTCAATGTCTGAATTCACGGAGGTTAGTGGACCGGAAGGGCACCTTAGGATGGTGATGTCAACATGCTGCTTCAAATCTTTCATAGAACAAATTGTGTGTTGGTTCAGTCCCTGGAACATCTTAGCATTGATCCTGCCATACTGATTTAAGAGCTTCTGAAACTGCCTCATGTGGGATCACAATATCTCATGAATAAAATCTGCATAAGCTTTCTGGGCAGTTGGTGCCCCAGACTTTTTTGAAAAGACACGGTATTTCTGTGAGCTCATTATTGCTCCAAATGGACAATTAATGAGCACTATGGAACTGTTCCCTGCCCGACCCTTGTGAAGTGCATTAAGACGCCTTACTACTTTAAAAGTGCTGGGAAATGCAACTTGTTGCTTTTGGTAGGGTTATAAGTGAAGGTGTATCACCTTGCAAAAATGGCCTTTATTACATCTTCTTCTGATGTTTTGTCACCTCAGTCATTCCCTTGCAGACTTCTGCAGAACATTTTGGACACAAGAACATCGGAATTAGGAACAGGAGTAGGGAATTCAGCCCTTTGAGCCCTCTCCACCATTTAACAAGATCATGGCTGATCTTATCTTGGTCTCAACTCCACTTTCCTGCCAACTCCCCACAGCCCTTTATCTGGTTTTTTATCAAAAACATATCCATTGCTTTCTTGAATCTGTTGATTGATTCTGCCTCCACTGCACTTTGGGGCAGTGAGCTCTACAGATTCACAATGCTCTGAGAGAAGCAGTTTCTCCTCATCTCAGTTTTGAACCTACCTCCTCTCATTCTATATCTATGGCCTCTTGTTTGAGACTGTCCCACAGTGGGGAGCATCTGTTCAACTTCCACCTTGTCAATCTCCTTTAGCATTTTATACACCTTTATCAGATGCCCCCTCATTCTTCTGAACTCCAGTGAGTACAAGCCTAAGCTATTCAACTGCTCCTCATATGACAACCCTTTCATCCCTGGAATCAACCTGGTGAACGTCCTCTGAACTGCCTCCAGTGTCACCACATCCTTCCTCATGTAAGGAGACCTCAACTGGATACAATACTCCAGGTGTCTGGTCTCACCAACGCCTTATGTAATTGTAACAACATTTCACACGTTGGTATACAATGCAAGCTGTACATGCGGCCTACCTCGTTTCTGTCACAAAATCGATTGCCAAGAACAGAGTGTCCACATTCCTTGTGCACAATCAGGTGCGGCTCTGTTGGTAGTGTTTTTAACCCTCAATCAAAACATATGGGAACAAGCCGCTAGGGATTTGAGTTGGGAACACGAGGTGATTCAGGCAGGGTGAAGAAGTGAGGTGTGGAAAGTGATGGAGGCAGAAGAAGAACGCATTGTCATCATAAATGTCCAACATTTTGAATAACTCTATAGAAGATCTGTGCCTCATCTTACTAATGACATATTTCCTAAGAAAACAAAACACAAGTCTGTTGGGTCTTGTAAATAAGGCCTCTCTCACTTTTTACATACACCTGTGGGTAGATGATTGACTGGCTTGGCAGGCATTCCTGACAGTAGCTTGGATACGACACTGGTGAACTTGACAGCCATGGGAAGAGCTGTCTCTGTAACAGGAATTGTTTGCACCAACCCCATTAAGGTATGTCATAGTTCTAAGTCAGCTTCCAATGTAAACCTGAGCTAGTGAAGTGATGGCTGTCTGAGCTGTGCATGCACTGGGTTTTCAAATGTGGTAAATATGAAAGAAAAAGATTACATTTTTATAACACATTTCACAACTGTGACCCCAAAGACACATCACAGTCTATTAATGACTTTTTCTTGAAGCAAAGCCATTGTTATCATGCTACCATTACTTCACAAAGAGCAAGATTTCACAAATGGCAATGAGATAGTGATT